ATACTTCATCTAAGGCTAATTCTCCAAAGAAGTTGGTATAGAGTTTTTGTAAAGTGTATTCGCTAATGCTTTTCTTTCTTAAATCAAAGAATATAACCACCTAGATTAAAAGAAGTCAGTATGATATTCTTGAATACATATGCAGAAAATTATTTTGGAAATATCTTATTTCATAGGCAATCAATTTATAGAAAAGTTTATTTTAAAGACAATTCATAGACAGGTTACCTTATATAGTTCATTTTATAGACAACTTTTGACAAAGAATAATTTAATCTACTAGTCTGTTTTAGATAAATAAGGCTATTTATAAAATAAACTGTCTATTAAATAAACTATTTGTAAGCTAATTGTCTTAAAAATAAGCTTGTCTATGAATTAATCATCTATAAAATAAGATATCTATAAAATAATTGTTTATAAAGTGATATATATCCCTAATAAGTACTATCCTAGATATAAATATGCTATAGTTCTTTTACTTACTATTAAAGTTATGGGAATATCTTCACCATAACATGTAATAAATTCTTTGGCAAGTGCGAGCCCTATTCTAGTATCTTCATAACTACAGAACAATATGAACTTTGAGATTCTATATGGCAAAAATATTGAAATATATAAGTGACAGAAAGAGAAAACCTCTAAATTAATTCACTAACTTTCACCTTATCTGATTCGGCCTCTAAAGAATCCAGTTCTATATTATTATTTCTAGTTCGCATATTTATTTTTTTAAGAGTCACCAGATCATTTGTCCATAAAAAGATATAATTTTAATATATTTAATCACAACTATTTCAGGATTAATTTTGCAAAGGTTAAGTCTAATAAAGTGAAGTTAGTGAATCTATTATAGGTTTTTCCTTTCTGTTACTTATATTTGAAAGACTGATTCTAAAATTCAAACTCCTGAATTGAAAAGAAATAATTATAATAGTAACAGTGTTTAGTTTAATAAATCAAGAACTATTATTTTTTTTTTATCTTTGTAGCCAAGATATAAGTGAATAGTTATGTGTCTATTCTAAGTATGTTTTAGTACATCTGTCACTCAAATCTAGCATAACGTTCTTACAAAGTACAGCTGCTAATGCTTTTTAAAATTATTAACTCATAGCATATTTGCCATTTTTTTTCACTTCTGATCTAAGATTATTGCAGCTAAGATTCAAAGAAGCCAGTATATTGTTTTTGTTTTATTCTTTTAAAAACTCAAGCATGCAAAATGACGACTATAAAAAAAACAAAAAAAAATAAAGTTTGAGTAATATGAATCTTTATATAATAACATGACAATAAAGAATTTAGCATACTCTAAAATCTCATACTTGTGTAATGCAACGTAGGTAAGTTCTGTAAATCACTGTATATAAGACCTGGGTCTCTTACTTTTTAATTTTAAAACTATATAATAGATCCTAGATTTACTACATAGTGAGAAAATTTGAAAAACATGTTTAAAAATTTCAGAATTCATACTAAGATAATAATATATAACAGATTTACTTGGTGATTTACTTTACAAATCTAGTTAATGTTATTTTTAAGCATAATATGTCTTTAGAAGTCTAAAAATTAAAAGAATATATAAATTTGTTACAAGGTAAGTTAAAAAATAGAGCATTATTAAATACTTTAATTTAATTATAGATCTAATTAATATAGAGTTTTACATATAAATGTTGCATGCTTACAAAGTAAATTTCGTCAAAAAATAAAATTTAAATTTAATAATTTAATAATTAAAAACCTATGGTTTCACTTTATTGTTTGTATTACTTTAATATTATATTTAATCAATAATTTCATGAACTTACTTATAATCTGAAATTTTTAATTCGAGTCTTATTTATATGTGATCTGTGTTATATTCTAATATTGAAAATTCTCTGATTGACTAACAGATCATCAATTAATACTAGACTTCTTATTATATTGCTCAAACTTCTTATAAATAATACTTTTTGAACTACTACAGAAAGAAAAACTATTAGTACAAAGCTTTACATGAGTAGATAAAAACAAAGTACTTACTAAACAAAAAGGATATATTTTAGAGATTAATATACAGAGCCTTTTTTCTTGAATATAAACTCATTTATATTAACTAAACTAACTTAGAGGATTGTCCTAATTGTTTTTATATTACTTAAACAATATTATTTAATTTAAAAGCTTTTTTATAATATATTGTTTATTGAGTTATATAATTTAGTATATATATATTGTAATATACCATCTAATTAACCAATCAGATTATAAGATTGAGTAAAATCACCTTTTGTATTCTAACAAAAAAATTTTTACAAAATTTTAGATATAATTAGTATTTATCTAAAATTTAATCTAATTATAAATTAGTACTAATCTTTATTTTAAATTAATATATCATTAGTTTATTTTGATTTCATATTATACTGTACCAGATCTTTAAAACATATCTACACAAAATGCTAATCTATTTGCTTTATTATTCTATTATTATTACTATAATTTTTAATTAATTTTAATTATTTTTATTTTTTTTACTTTAGCAATTCTACTTTTATTTTTTAAATTGACAGTATACTATAGTTAAAATTCAGTTAGCTAAACTTATTCTTTACTTATTAGATACTTTATTTTTATATAAATAAAAATTCTTTCGATCTGTCTTATTATCGCAGTAAAATCATGATAAACTAAAAATTTATATTAAAATATAATACAGAAACAACTTATCTAAATAAACAATTTTTTTTTTTAAAATCTTTAAATTTCTGAGGATTTAAGTTCAGATATCAACAAATAGCTTTATTGATCTTGTTAGAATTACTACTCTACAATAGAATACTATTAATCTGATAATACTTTCTTATAGAGAAGTAAAACAAAAAAAGAGATATAGAAAAAATGAAAAAGTAGTAAATCAAAAACAAATATATAAAAAAAATAACCAAATTATAAAAGAATCTAAAAATACTATTCTAAAATCTATGAAAACTTATTTTTAAATATAAAACTTGATAATTAGATAAAAACTATCTACTATTCACCACTATATACAGTATTCTCCAAAAATAATATCTTCTTGATTAAGATCAGAGTATTACTTATCACTGTGTATACTTATTTGTGCCTATAATACAAGCTTTTTATAGAATTGATTGACATTTCTCAATTGATTGGCTGATTCTGCCAAAAGTAAATCTAGCGAAAATATTAAATTTTGTTCATATAATATTAATATATATTGATATCATTCAACGTGAAATTATGAATTCATTTAATATTAGTAGATTTCTTGATGCAAACCGATTTTTAACAGAATTCCTGATATTAATTGTATTTGGATTAGAACTTGCTATTTATATAATAACCTAAAACATATAATAATTATTCGAATAACTCAGGTAATTTAATAATACCCAAATATTAATATCCAAATATTATATAAAAGCAATAAGTAAAATTCATTAAACACATTTTAACATAATAAATATAAATATGATAACTAGTGTATAAATTTAAATTTGTGCTTAAAATCATTGCGCACCTTTTGCACATAAACAATTTTTAATATATAATTAACTTATATTATTTGTTTAAGAAAACACACTTCAATGCATTCTAACCAGAAGTACCAAAAATTAATTGCAAATTATGCAATTACAACCAACTAAAATTGTTAAAAAAAATTGCAATATAATATATTACGAATAATTGCAATTTTTGCTTTTATGTAGCATAAAATTTGTCATAATATAAAGTTTTGACTTTAAAATACTCTAATTTGAAACTAAAAAAACTTAATTGTACTCAATTGCAGATCTAAAAAATGTCTATGTAGCACTTTTCAGAACTTTTGCGTTTATTGAAACAAATTTAAAAGCAAATAATATCATTTCGATATGTGCTTCAAAAAAAAAAATCTATAATTTATACAGATCATTAAAAAAAAAGAAATCACTTAATAGCTTGATTCTTTTATTTAATTACGTTAAATACACTTCTACGTACATACAAATATATTATTACTGCTATGCCACTAATTAATTATTCGATACATCATGATTCTAATAATTAGAAAATGCATGTAAATCAAACCCCAAATTTTTTATACTAATTTAAACTTGAATACACTAAAGTAGGTATTGCGGCTAATGTTTAAAACTTAGGTGAAGTGAAACTGGCAAATTAAATTAATTGATTAACACTAATTAACCACCATATTCAAAATTAAATAATATAGTGAAACATCATATTATAAACTTAGGTTATAGCAATTAAAGAAATCTTGTTAGTAACTACTCTAGTCAAATAAAAAACTGAATTAAATCATAAAATGCAAAAGTTTTATAGTATAGAAATGTGATCCGGATATCTGTCAGTTTAATTATTATAAAAAATTCAGATACCCAGATATACGTTAAATTTCAAATAGAAAACAGATAACAGATCGTATTTCTATTATAGCAAAATCCCGATATTTGCTGCTATGCAAAAATTATAATATTGTAAAAGTGTTGTTAATAGTTAGCAACAAAAAAAAAGCTTATCAATTTAATCGATTTTAGTTTTAGTAAATTATTATTAGCCTAATGTAAAAAAAAATCAAATATGTTTTAAAAAATGATCTAGATAAAAATGAAATATTAGATGATAAGTTCGATTATAAGAGAATTTAAGAAAAATATAGTTAGTATTTGTTTTAGTCAAAGAAGAAACCAATTATTACCAAAATTATACTAAAAATTATATTGCATCTAAGAAAATAAAAAAAAGTTTTATATTAATATATAAATGTAACAATAGAAAATAAAAATACATCGTAATTATTATTTTAGTCCTTTTATCTCATATAAAAGAATATTAAAATCTCGATTAAAAAATTAGTATTTTCATCGCATATATGAAAGCCGCAAATTCTTAAAAATTAGTATTTTCATCGCATATTTGAAAGCTGCGAATTCTTAAACTCGTATTTAAATATATCTTTAAAATATACTTATCTGAATATGCAAAATACTCAAATCCAAGAATATAATGTCAAAGTTTATATAGATGATCCCGAAGAAAGTTTGGGGGAATTATTTGATCATTTTAATCAATTTGTGGAAAACCTTCAAGACCCTGCTATAAATTCTGATTATTTGCCTATTGGTGCGATTTTAGTTGAATATAACAAAGCCTCTAATCATAATAAATCAACAGATGAGGTTATATATCGTGTTCTACTAGATACAGATTATCATGAATAGGTATAGCAATTTAGTAAAGCAACCGGCGCAACTTATATTAAACGCAATATAGAAAAAATAATAGAAATATTGCCCTGCAGATTACTTACAAATGCCATCGATCAGGTACTTATCAAACTGTTGTGGGTCAAAGCCTTTCTGATAAGAAACCAAGACTAAACCAAAAAGAAAGTAAAAAATGTGATTGCAAATCACAAATAATCGTTATTATAAAAAATATATTCAGCAAATCCCAAATGTTTATAAAATATTTTTCACATACTAATCATATTCCAGGTTCAGATAGTGATATTAGTACTTTGAGACTTTCTAGGAGGTTCGGGATTGGATTGCAGAATGTATTAGAGATGTGTTAAATATTAAAGGTATCAAACAGCTTTTTAAAAAACGTGTCCGTGATATAGTAGAAATATGAAAAGAACGAAGCCAAAAAAATGCTGTCCAAATTCGTAATAATTTAGTAATATATGATGATATATATAATATATGGAAGGAGGTGATTTTGGAAAGCCAAATGAAGCACAAATCTGAGAAATTGAGTATAGATCTGTGGTGACTTGAACTTGAACAAAATGGAGATCTTACTTGTACGCTTTCAAGATTGGGTAAACATAATGAACAAAATATAGGTATGCTTTTTAGTTTTGTAATTCCTACCAGAAAAAAGTTTTTCATAATGTGTTAATTATTCTTCTTGATGCAATGCATAGAACGAATAAGCATAAAGATCTACTATATACACTACTTTTACCTGATCCAAAGACTGGAAAAGGTATTATACTTGTTCACCTATTATCTTTGCGTAAAACTTTTGAATCTGTTTATTATTAGCTCAGTAAGCTACGTATTCAAATTTCTAATTGGCAAGGCCCAGTTGCTTTTATGGTGAATTGTGATTCTGCACAAATAAAAGCCCTTCGAATTATATTTCCAGAAAGTAGAATATTACTTTGCTAGTAGCATATTTCAAGGGCTTGGAGGAATAATCTTAAAAAAGTACATAAAAAAAAACAGATTCTGAAAGAAATAAGCTTAAGTCTGCTGAAAAAAAGAGCATTAGAAGAAGAATTGTTTGCTGACTTAAAGTATATAATGCATATCGATAACATCAGTACCGCCGAAAATGCTTTGGTTATATTTTGGAAAAATGGAAAGATGCATCAACATTCATTATCTACTTTAAACATCAATGGTTAAATGAATTAGATGATCATGGTAATCTTTATAGTATAGACAAAACTATATGAATGAATGCATACCATTCTGAAATTCTGCATATTAATATAAATACTACAAATATGCTTGAATCATGGCATAAACGTTTGAAATATGATAATTTTGAAGGCAAGCATAATCGGCGTAATAATATCTTAATATACGAACTATATATAGTAATAAAAAGTGATATACAATATCAATAGCGTCTTGCGGAAATTCGAGCGAAATGTATGATACCAGCTAAAAGAGAGACTCGTCTAAGAAAAATAAAGGTACAATTATTAATAAATACTGTTCTCGAAGTTAATAATAGTAAATATTATTGGACAGTAGCGTCAGAAACCAAACCAGGAATAAGATATTTTATAGAAAAAAATTTAGTATATGATCAACTAGAACAGTTTTCATGTACTTGTTTAGATTTTAAATCATGTCAACTTCCTTGCAAACATATCTATGCAGTCATTTTTCAAAATTTTCTTCCACTTAATGAAAATATTAATTCAACTTACCAACAATAGCAAAAACAGCCACAGCCCACTATTGAAGAACTTCGTTATGATATTCAAACAATGATACAAAATCTTGAAGATCTAGATGTTAATCATTTGCAAATCGTTCATGATCAAATCTCAAAGATTCTTGAAGACTTTCGCAGGCCAGAGAGATCTATAGAAGTAAACAATTAGACAAATGAAAATCAGAGAATGAAATTTCCACCACATATAGGTATTGAGAAGCAACAAAGATAATGTATATCTATAATTCAGATAAATTTAAATTAATTATATTATTGCTTTAAATAATTTAACTAAAAAAAAGAAAAAAGAAAAATACTATTGTTTGTAATTATGAGAGTTTATATTTAAAAGGTTGTTTTTTTTGAAAACAGTACTTATTTCAAATATGATTGTAATTCTTTATTATATTGAGAGTTTTTTGATACCTGTTAATCGATTTTTGAAAAAGTAATATGAATATTAGAATTAATATTTCGGAGAAACTTTTACAAGTTTTTTTTTTAAAAAAAAGCAATATGTATTAGTGATCGTGTGAATATTGATTAATTATCATATAATATGAAGTAATATTATCATGTGATATGTACTAAAAAGATTAACTACTATGCAAAATATGATCTATGATTTTAGAGTATACATATAATAATGATCATTTTCATAAAAGGCTTGTGTTACAGACGCAAATAAGTATTCGCTTATTTACCATCTACCTGGCTTAATTCTTGAATAGTATCTGAGGGTATAACTATATGAATTTATTACTATTCATATAATATATCTTCTAAATCTAATATCTGGTTCCTCATACAGTATCTATAAGTATTATTTAATTTAAAAAATAAAGTTTTTAAATAAAACCCTAGGACCCTAGATACTGTATATAGTGGCAAATAGTATATAGTTATAGAAATATATATATAAAACTATCTAATATTAAAAGAACCTATGTACTAAATATATTTTAACCTGTGCTAAGAGCTATACATGCCAATGAAATTATTTTGGAGTCCAAAATCTAAAATTAAAATTTGAAGATAAAATTGTTTTTGATCTATTTTATTTAAAAGACAAAATTTTTTGATACATTTTTTGAAGAAATAAAATTATAAAGAATATAACTACCTAAATTAGATTTGCTTTTGTATATAAAAAATTCTAATTTGCTCTAATAGAAACGAAATAGGGTTTTTTAAAATCTATTTTAGTGGTATATAAGAGCTAAAAATTATATACATATAATTTTAGAATAAGTATATTTCTATATTATTACTCTAGTTTACAACTTTCTATTAAATTTATCTTGAATATACATATCAATAAAATTATTTTAGAGTCTAAAACCTGAAATTAAAATTTGAAGATAAAATTGTTTTTGATCTATTTTACTTAAAAGATGAAATTTTTTGATACTTTTTTTAAAGAGACAAAATTATAAGAAATATAACTACCTAAATTAGATTTGCTCTTGTATATAAAAATTCTAATTTGTACTAATATCTAATTTTAAAGTCTCAATTATATAATTATTAATTCTAAAGTCTTTTTTGCTTTAACTAATTCTAATTATAAACAGTTTTACCTTTTATAGTTCTTATTTTTAACTCAGAGATTTATATTTGTTTTGTTTTCTAATTGTTGTATCAAAACTTGAAACTTTCTAAAATATAAATAATAAACAATACCAATCTTTTGAAGAAAATTAGTAAACCAAATCTCTCACTTTTTATTAAAAAT